TGATTTCTACATCTAACTTACTTTACTTATTTTAAATTCATTTTCTTCCTCTGATTTTCTTTTTTTTTAACTGCTTTTAAAACTTGAGACCCCTCCCATCTGCTGGCCCTACCCACAAAGGCCCAAATGGGCAGGCAGGGCCGAAGCAAGGGGGAGGAGGGAAATGTTTGATCCCAGGTGGTGGCATGGGGAGTGGGAGGGGGTGGGTGAGCTGAGTCAGCAGGAGTGGAAGGGAAGTAGCCAGGAACCTATACAAGCCACTCTCTGCTTCCATCCTCAGCTGGTAGCTCTGTGCATTGAGGAAGCTCCACCTGCATGGAGGTGTGGTTCCATTCCCACCCCTGGCCCATGCCTTCGGATTCTAAATGGAAGCACCTGTGTGGGGCTTGGGGCTGGGATTGCTGATCCACCCACCCAGGACGCGGGAAACACCTTCCGATTGCTATGCCCCCCACAGCGCGACAGACCCCTGCCCAATTCTTCCTCTGATTTTCTAAGATGAAAGCCAAGGTTTTGATCTTGATTGTTTTCTAAAAGAGTATTCAATAGTATAATTTGGCAAAATAATTTCACCATCATTTAATTTGAAATATTTTTCTTTCTCTCTTGAGACTTACTCCTTAGACATGCGTTATATAGAGGTTTCTGCTTAATCTCCAAGTATTTGGGATTTTCCAGTTGTTTGTACGGACTTCTCACTTGGATCCCATTATGACCTGAGAGCTTATTTCCTGTGACTCCTGTTCTTCCTTAGGTGTTGACGTGTGCTTCACAGGCACGGAGGTGGTCAGCATGAACGTCTGTGTGGGCCTGAGAGAGTGTAGAGTCTGCTGCTGTGGGGTGGAGCATCCTCTCCGTGCCCAGTAGATGCACAGGTGATTGATGGTGCGTTTTGTTCAACTGTATCCATCTGCTCTTGTGACTGCTGGTCTGTTCATTTCATCATGTCTTTCATGCTTTGCTTCTTTTTAGCTTATTTATTTATTTGAACAGAGTTACAGAGAGAGAGGTCTTCCATCTGCTGGTTCACTCCCCAGATGGTCGCCATAGCCGGAGCTGCTCCAATCTGAAGCCAGGTGCCAGGAGCTTATTCTGGGTCTCCCATGCTGGTGGCAGGGGCCCAAGGACTGTGACCATCCTCTCCTGCTTTCCCAGGCCATAGCAGAGAGCTGGATGGGAAGAGGAGCAGCCGGGACTAGAATGGGCACCCATATGGGATGCCCAGCACGTCAGGCCAGGGGCATTAACCACTGTGCCACAGTGCCGGCCCCCTCAAACTTAATTTCACTCCCTTTTTTATTTTGAGACTTAAATAACTTTAAAGACGCACCCAAGAATGATACATCTTTTGGGAGCACTTAGAAATACTGGAGCTTATGTGATGTCAGAGTATCCTCCTACATATAGTGGATCCAGAAGATTCCAATCATCAGAGACTTGAAAGTCATAGAAGAGTTTGGTAAAGTAGCAGAATATAAAATCAACACACAAAAGTCAATAGCCTTTGTATATACAAGCAAGCCACGGGTGAGAAAGAACTTCTAAGATAGGGGGCCGGCGCCATGGCTCACTTTGGTTAATCCTCCACCTGCAGTGCTGCATCTCATGTAGGTGCAGGGTTGTAGTCCTGGTTGCTCCTCTTCCAGTCCCAGCTCTCTGCTGTGGCCCACGAGGGCAGTGGAGGATGCCCAAGTGCTTGGGCCCCTGCACCTGCATGGGTAGACCAGAAGAGGCACCTGGCTCCTGGCTTCAGATCGGCACAGCGCCGGCTGTAGTGGCCATTTGGGGAGTGAACCAATGGAAGGAAGACCTTTCTCTCTGTCTCGCTCTCACTCTCTATAACTCTAATTGTCAAATGAAAAAAAAAAAAAGAACTTCTAAGATTTATCCCATTCATAACTTCAAAAGTCTTGGAATAAATTCTAACCAAGGATGACAAGGATCTCTGATGAGAATGTCTGTGGCTTGTTTTTTTTTTTTAAGATTATTTTATTTATTTGAAAGAGTTACAGAGAGAGGTAGAGAGTAGTGAGAAAGAGAGAGATCTTCCATCTACTGGTTCACTCCCCAAATGGCAAACAATGGGCCAGAGCTGAGCCTATCCAAATCCAGGTACCAGAAGCTACTTCCAGGTCTCCCACAGGGTGCAGGTGCCCAAGGACTTGCGCCAACTTTGCTGCTTCCCAGGTGCATTAACAGGGAGCAGGATTGAGAGTGGAGTAGCTGGGAGACCCATATGGGATGCCAGCACTGTAGCCTGGACTTGAACCCGCCGAGGCACTGTGCAGGCCCGAGTCTTTCTGTTTTAATTGGCGTGCTCAGGCTATTGACATGCAGTGTAGTTATCGATGTATTTCCGTTTAAACATGTTATTACCTGGTTTTCAGTAGAAGCCCATGATGTGAGTCTGCTCCCCCAACACACAGCAGGTCAGTCGTTGGCACTGGGGTGCTGGTGGGTGTGTGTTTGTAGTGCACAGAGTAAAAAGGCAGCTGTTGCCTGGTTATCAGACTCCCGTAGAGATTAAGGGGGTGAGTCTTGTAGATGAAAGTTGAACAGTAAAGGACCAGCTCATGCAGGCCCTCTCTGGCTTGTCTGCAGTGCTCGTGGCTTTTTGACTGGTCAGCAATGAGATAGCCAGTGTGTTCTGAGGAGGCTGGATGGCAAAGTGGGCTTCTGAGTGTCTGGGTCTGTGAGGGGGTGGCTGTTGCAAAGCTCACTCAGGACCTGGGCTTCCTGAGAAGCATCTCAGTGGGAGCCAGCAGGAAGATGTTAACCTAGAGAGTCTGGTTGAATTGGGGATTTTGTGATGTGGGCTCGTTGGGGCCAGTCTGGCCTGTGCTGCTCCCGGAATTTAATGAGGTCATGTTCACTAAGGAGTTGACTCTGCATCAAGGTGAAGACAGAGAGTGCAAGCTAAGGGGAGAGACTGTGGCCTGCGTGAGTCTCTATCAGAGGCATTAGGACCAGGACTCAGATTCAGTGATCGTTGTTCTAGTTTTGTTCCCACATTCCTGCTGTCTGCGTTATTTTGTGTCACTTGGACATTTCTTTGTACCCCATTTTACATATCCCTGCTGAGTGTACCTTCTTCTTTCAAAACTTTTTTGTTTCTTTTTGCAAAAATTTCTTAGCTGGTCACAGTCTAATTAGAATCATTGTTTCCATCCATTTCACATGAACTATGGAACTCTTAGCACCATGTAAATCCATTTGCTCTGCTCCCTTGATGCTGTCATTGTCCTACTTTTCTGTGTTAGGCATGGGAACCCCAGAAGACAGTGTCATCTCTGCACTTCATCTTTCTGGAGACGTGCTGTCAGGCACTTCTATGACCTCCGTGTTCCAGGTCAGTGTCAGTGTCGATGCCTAGAGGAAAACCGCATTGAGGGCCAGAAGCCGATTCCCCTGAGGGACCGGGTGATCACCTGCCTGCCCCTCCTCCATTGGGCACCTCTGACAGCTTGGCTGCCAGAAGTGGTCGTGTGTGAGTTTCCGAGTCCTGCTTCCAGGGCGTGTCCCTCATGGGGTGGATTCCTCCCCAGGGAATGTGTGTGCAACCTCTGTGTTTGAGGTCGTTTTCACGAACGCCTTTGCACATATGCACCACGTGTGGTGGTTCTTCCAGCAGCCGGCCGCTTCCCATTGGTGCTCCATGGAAGCCACCGGGCCCAGCTGTTCTCAGGTCCATGGTCGGCTGCTACCTCTGCCTGAGCCTCGGGCTCTGGGCTGAAGCAGCGTGCGAAGTGGAAAGTCTCGTGGACTTGTTTCTCTGATCCAGCATAGAGACCTTTTAAGGTGAGTGAGGAAGACTTCTAGATTCCTTTTGTGATTCTTCCCTGTCAGCCTGTGCCATGCCATTCTTCTTTGCATATTGCTCTTTGATTCTGCCGCTGTGCTGGGCATGCTGGGAGTTCTACCACTGCTGTGGATTGCTTAGCACTTTTCTGAATGTGAGCTCATGCTAGGGGAGAACAGGGGTGATTCTGCCTCTCCCAGGATGGTTGCTTTTCACTTCCTTTTTTGCCTGCAGTGGCACTGCTGAAGACCATTTTTTTGTTTCTAATGTTTTTTCAAGATTGATTTATTTGAAAGGCAGAGTTAAGACAGACAGAGTTCTTCTATCCACTGGTTCATTCTAAATGGCCACAGTGGCTACTGGGACGGTCAAAGCCAGGAGCTTCATGGAGGTCTCACACACAGGGCAGGGCCCTAAGTACTTGGTCCATCCTCTGCTGTTTCCCAGGCACAGTAGCAGGGAGCCGGATCAGAAGTGGAGCACTTGGACTCAAACCCTTGCCCGCCTGGTATGCAGCCGCCACAAGCAGTGGCTTTACCTCCTATGCCACACACACAGGCCCTGGGACTAAGTTTTGATATTGGGAAATGTGAATCTTCTAACAGTATCTTTCATTTTCAAAGCTGCTTTGCTCCTACTGGGTTCCTTACCTCTCTGTATGAATGTTAGCATCCGTACATCAAGTTTGAAGAAAGGACACTAGAGCTTGGAGGGAATTGTGTGATTTGTGTAGGGAATTTGGGGAGTATTGTTATATTAACAGCACTACAGCATGTTGATCAGAAGTAACAAGAGCAAAACCTTTAGTCTTCTTCCTGATCTAGGAAGAGCGATTCCTGTTTTCTTTTTTAAATTTCTGCCCCCCAGAGTCTTTTAGATTTTCATAGAAAATGTACTGAATATTTTGAATTCTTTGAATATCATTCACCTAGTATGGTTATTATCAATTTGCTTTTTTAAAATAGGTATTTATTTGAAAGAGAGAGGGAGGGAGGGAGGGAGAGAGAGAGACAGAGAGACAGAGAGAGGGAGAGGTCCTCCATCTGCTGGTCCACTCCATAAGTAGCTGCAACAGTCAAAGCCAGACCAATCCGAAGTCAGGAGCCAGGAGCCTCCCCAGGTCCCCCACAGGAATACAAGGACCCAAGCACCCGATACATCCTCCACTGCCCTCCAGGGCAAGGAGGGAGCTGGATTGGAGGCAGAACAGCCAAGACCGGAACCGGTGCCCACATGGGATGCTGGCAGCACAGGTGGCAGCTTTACCCATCATGCCAGAATGCTGGCCCCTATTTGATTTTATGTTTTTAAGGTTATTTGTGTATTTGAATTCAGAGCTACAGATTGGATTGTGTGTGTGTGTGCGTGTGTGTGTGCGTGTGTGTGTGTGTGAGAGAGAGAGAAGCTGTCTTCCTACATCCACTGGTATACTGGTTTCTTCCCCAAATAGTCACATGGCCAGGCCTGGGCCAAGCTGAAAGCTGAGGTCTGGAACTCCATCTGGGCCCAGAGTCTTGGGCCATTTTCTCCTGCTTTTCAGACAGATTCCCAAGGAGCTGAATCAGAAGTTGAGCAGCCAAGTCTCATACCAGTGTCCGTAAGCGACGCCAGCATGGCAGACAGTGGCTTCACCTGCTGTGCCATGATCCCAGCTCCGAGACCAATGAGTTTAAAAGATAAGTTTAGGATGGGCCCTGGCACAGCAGTTACATCTTGGGAAGCCTGCATCCATGTCAGAGTGCCCAGGGTCAATTCCCAGTTCTCCTCCTCTTCCACCTCCTTGGGAGTTTATACCCTGGGGGGCAGCAGATGGCTGGCTCTAGTACTGGAGTCGCTGCCACCAACCTGAGAGATCTAGATGGAGTTCCAGGTCCTGGCTTCAGCCTGACACAGCCCTGGTTATTGCAGACACTGGAGAGTGAAGAAGTGGATGCAGGTCTCTCTCTCTGTGTGTGTGTGTGTGTGTGTGTGTGGTGAGCCTTTCAGATGAAAAGCAATAATGAAATAGAGAGATAAGTTTATTTGGTATGAAAAATTTTGAATTCCATGCACAGGTGTTCATTTCTTTATTTTTTTTTAAGTTTTATTTAGTTATTTGGAAGGCAGAGTCTTTATCTGCTGGATCCCTCTCAAATGGCCGCACAAGTCTTCCGGGTCCCATGTGGGTGCAGGGGCCCAAGCCCTTGGGCCATCTCTCACTGCTTTCCCAGGCCATTAGCAGGGAGCTGGATCAGAAGTGGAGCCCTGGGACTCAAACTGGTGCCCATAGGGGATGTAGGCGCCCCAGGTGGAGCCTGAACCTACTACCCCCACGCCAGCCCCTGCAGTGCCACTGCCTCCTCCTCGTGGGCACCACTGGCTTCCGGGAAGTGGCCCTGGGAACTTCCGGTTTCTCCCCTCTCAGGACAGGCTGCCCGGGTGGGTGGAGGCAGCCATTGTGTGTGCTGGGTCTCAGCGCAGGCCACAGCGCCCTCACCACACCGAGGCCACTGGCTTCCCGGGTGCTCCATGGGAACTGCAGGGGGCATCGTGGGTGGAGCAGGGTGCTGGGCGGTGGCTCCCACGGGTGGGCCTAGTGCTCTAGGCCCGAGGCGGCATTGAAGCAAAGGCCTTCTTGGGCCTCTGTCCAGCAAGCACAACGGGGCTCCCTGTGGTGAGTGAGGGGGCGTCCCGGGTTCCTGCTGGGGGCTTCCCTGCTGGCTTGGGCCAGGCCTCTGCACCTTGCCTGTTGCTCTGGGGTCCTGCAGGGAGCAGGGTGTGGGCGGAGTCGTGGTGGTGCTGTGCGGACCCTGGAACTTTGCCCAGTGTGCGAGCAGCTGTGGAGAGCAGAGGTGGCTCTGCCTGCTCCCGGAATGGCCCGTGTTCCCCTTTGTGTCCTTGTTGATGGCCCAGCCGCCCTGCTCTAGACCTCTGAGCCCACTGACCCAGGAGTAGGAGCGAACATGCTCGTCTGTTTCCTGGGCTCCGAGGACGGTTTCTGGTTACTGCATTCGGTGTGTGCTGTGTGCTGTGTGCGTTTTTCATGACAGACCATTGTCCGGCCGAGGTTGGCCTTCGTTCCTAATTAGGTGATTTCTTTACTATCTCAAAGGTAACTAAGTTTTGCGAAATAGGTTTTCTCTGTCTATAGGGGTGCTTTGTGGGCTTTTCCCATGTTGATTCTGTTCTGTGATACATTGATTTTCGTATGGTAGCCATCCTTGCATTCCTGGAGTAACTCCCAGTTGCACAGAGTGTGCAAACCTTTTTTGTACTCCTGGATAGGGTTTGGTAATCTTTTGTTGAGGAATGGGATCTATTCATAATGGATATTTGTGTGCCATTTTCTTTATGATCTGTTTGTGTTGGATGTTGGGCTAATAGTGGTCTGTTGGAATAAAATGGAATGTTTTTACTCTTCTTCTCTTTTTGGAAGGGTTTGCGAATCAAGGACTTTAATTATCCTTTAAATGGGAGTTTTCTCCTGTGGAACCATCTGGACCTGGACTTTTCTTCATGTTTTTTTTTTTTTATTTTTTTCCTGCTACAGCAATCTCTTTCCAAATTATAAGTATATTCAGACAAGTGAATGGAAGACCTCTCTCTCTGTCCCTACCTCTCTCTATAACTCTGCTTTTAAAATAAATGAAAAAAAGAAAGAGTAAGTATATTCAGAGTTTCTAGTTTTACTGGAGTTTTTAGTGGTTTGTTTCCTTCTGAGAATCAATCCGTTGTATCTATGTTGAACCAATTTTTTTTGAAGATTTACTTGAAAGAGTTACAGAGCGAGGTCGAGACAGAGGTCTTCCAACCACTGGTTCTCTCTCCAGATGGCCGTAATGGCCGGAGCTGTTCCAGTCAAGATCCAGGAGTTTCTTCCGGGTCTCCCACATGGGTGCAGGGCCCTAAGGACCTGGGCCATCTTCTACTGATATCCCAGGCCATAGCGGAGAGCTGTAATGGAAGAGGAGCAGCTGGGACTAGCACCAGCACCCTCTAATTTTTTATTTCACCTTCATTCATGAATTAGAGCTTTGCAAGGTTTAGTATTCTGGGTTGACAACTTTTCTCTTATGGCTTGGAATAGATCTCACCACTTTCTCCTAGCCCATACTGGGTTTCTGATGAGAATTCAGATGTGATTATAATTGGATATCCTCTTAATATAGTCTGATGTTTCTCTTGTGTACACTTTAGAATCTTTGCTTTATGTTTGACTGTGAAGAATTTGACTGAAGTGTTTCATGGTGAAGATCTTTTCTGGTCATGTTTATTAGGAGTTCTATGTGCTTGTGTTTGAGGGGAGAGACATATTCAGTTTTCCCAGATGCCTTTGCTATGTCTCTAAAGGTTATGTGTGTGTCCTTATTCTGTTTATTACATTGATTGCCCTGTCGTGTTTACCATCCTTGCATTCCTGGAATTATGCTCAGTTAATCAGAGTGTGTAAACCTTTTATTACACTGGATTCCGTTTGCTGATAATTTTTGTATATTTGCAGGTGATGCTTGTTTGTAGTTTTCTGTATGATGTAGTTTTATTTTCACATCAGGCTCGTACTGGTGCCCTGACATCAGATGGCAGGTGCTTCTTCTTCTTATCTACTTTTGGAAGGGTTTCTGAATTCTGGTTTTAATCATCCTTTACATCTGTTGGTGGGTGCTCACGGCTGCTGCTCTCCCAGCCCTGACTCAGCCCCCTGGAGGGCACAGGTGAATCTCAGGCATTAGCTTCAGGGTGCTGTGCAGATCTCTGCCTGGGATGGGGGCTGTGGAGCCTCCAACACTCGTCAGAAACACAGAGAAGCCCTGCTGAAGCTGGGCTCTGGGGGTCACAAAACTGGAGCAGACATGTTCCAATCTAACACTTTAGTACATAGAAACAATTTAATACACGTCAGCATCAAGAATAAAGGCCTAAAGGTTCTCCTTGAGGGTGGGGGTGGGGTGGGAACCGTCCAGTAGCTACAGGCACTATGCTATTACCTTCCAGCGATGGAGGTGCCCACAGCAGTCCTGAC